ATGAAGGGTAAGTTAATTCACACGAAGGGATTTCGGTTTCGAACGTTGTCGCCTGACAGCAATCAAAGAATCACAATTTACAACCGTTTTGGTTTGCCCGTGACCACGTTTAGTGGGACAGAAGAAGACTTAAACATGTTGCAGAAAGTATGCACTGTTAAAGTTACTTCCTTTGAGATGTAATTTATTACAGTAGTCAATTACAGCCACACAGAAGTAAGTGAGCACTTATGGAAGAGTAATGGATTAGTTTTGAGTGAGGTTCTTTCATTATTTGATTGCGGCAACACAGCATAAAAAGTTTACTCAAACTTCAACTAACTATTATTTCTTGCACATCGAACTGAAGGCTATGGTGAAGGCTGGTAGGCTTGGTGGGGCTTCTGTGATATATCTCGACACGTTCCCTGCTTAGGTGGTACCTACCGAGAAAAGGCGAGCCTTTTGAGTCGGCGATTTAGGAAATGGACTAGCGCGTTTGGTGTTCCTTAAGTTGGGCTGTTCGCTGTGGTTTTCACTGCTCTTGGGTTTTTCGCGTGCTCAATTTTGATCACCGTAGGAGCTTATTGTAATGACTGCCCACTTGTAGAGCTGGGCAGAGTGCCCGATTGGCTTTGTCGGTACAACATAGAGAAGTGAACAGCCCAAGTTCAGCCATGGCCTGACTGGAAAAGTACGTACTCGTTAAAACGCCAGCGTGCTTCTCTAGTACGGCCTATGGTTCAACGTAGTGAAAGGAATGGCGCGCAGATACCGACGGGAACGAATCGAGGCACAGTTCACAAACACAGCGGCGTCTCTGCAAAAAATTGTTTATTTCGCTTGTGCACGATGTTCACGTTGAACCCCTTGCAAAAGTAAACAAGATTCCGACTGCGCGCGAGTTCTTCTTGTGTGACTATAACCCTAGCATTTTTTTTTCATCGAAGGAGTCCAACTCCTTCTCACGCAAAGTACCGATGGGCAGCTAACGCAATGTCGACACACACGGGATATGGCTCCTGTTACGAATGATGCCTCTCGTAAGAGTCGACTTATACCAAAGTGAAACCTTGCGTCTATCGAAAACAGATCTGCAAACACATTCGCAACACTATACCAAGATGATGTCCAACTGTAGCTTTCATACATGCATAGTGTTTCCTTTAGGCGACCATTGATACATCGGTAAATTTTGCCGATATAATCCTTGTCACAGGAGATAGCTTCCTCTTACACAACACTATGGGTATATTCCGTGAAGCGCTATCTTGTTTTGGATTCGGACGTTTTCAATGAACGTGGCGTTAGTTTGTTCCCATAGTGAGGCAGACTTCCTAGAGAGAGCGCTATGGGTTTTCGCACACGGACGCGAAGAACTCACGGGGCCCGAGGCGTGTCGCCATATACAGCCTATAGCCGTAAAACGTGGCCGTTCGAAAACGGTGTTTTGCGGAGCTCATTGCTTGCGCGTTGATGGAAGGATTTTTCCAGCAGGAATGCTGGAAGCTGCAGAAGGAAAGATGAAATGCTCCAGCACCGTTAATAGAACGTTGGTGGAGTACAGTGATGTGTGCACTATCGGTAGCGAGTCGGCAGTGAGACTATGTTGAGTCGCTTGTCTATCGGTGTACGTGCCGTCTATCCATACAGTCCTTGTCAGCATTTTTCTGCTGGCAGGGCTTTGGCCAAGCGTGTTCATAGGCGTGGATGCTTCTAGAAAAGTTTGAATTGAGTGAGGTTCATGTACGCAGTTCAAACTTGGGGATAATGGCAGTGTTGCCTAGCGACAACGCGTTGCTTTTTCGACAACTTCTGGTCTGTTTCTTGACACGAAGGCGTGGAAGGCTCGCCTCCGTTATAGTCTTCGCACCAATGTCAATATCTAAGTGGTTGCCCAGTGTAGCTCCATCAAAGACACGTGAATGGAACAGTTATGTCCTTCAAAGATGTTTTTTTTTCATCTCTTCGTTACACAGATGCGGAGTAAGTACACAAACACGTATTCACTTCTGTTGCGCATTGGCAACCATTTTGTTTTATGAAAAGTCGTACTGACTAAGTAACCCCGTCACCAGTGGTTGCGTAATCAGTCTCTCCGATTCGTATATCCCCAGATCTAAGGACAACTACGCAAACTGGTGCCTGATCGCGCTCATCGGCGTTCTTTTCACCGGTGCGCTGGTCATCACCATCATCGCTGGGGTGACTCTGAGCCACCGTCGTAAGTACATGAAGTATTCATTTAACTCTTCCCGCCAGGCGGCGCCAGTGAGTGCACCGCCATAGCTGTGGTCCGTGAGCGACCCAGCATATGACATCCTGATTTCTGGTAGTGCTTACTAAGCCGTTTTCTGTGAAAAAAAAGTAACAGTTTCGCCGAAAGGGTGAAGCGATGAATGCGATAGCAACATATTCTAATGTTTTACGAAGCAAGGCTTGCATATTTATGGGCAATATTAATTGTAGTAAACAAGCGCTTGCTAAGTAACCAAGTTCCCTACGGCGCGGCCACAGTAGATGACCACAGCAAGGCTCGGTGCGTAGTGACGGCGTTGATGAGAAGCGCCTCCCGTGGAGAGCGCATGCTGGTCCTAAGGGCTATACGTCGTGTGTCGCCGCTGGTGGCAGCTTGTTATGTGCCGAGCGCTTCTGTATATGGAAGGCCGCTCCGGGTACACTTTTGACGCCGTTTTTTCGTGTTCAGCGCGCAGTCCGTAGAAGCTCCCGCCTGCTGTGGGGCAAGAGCCGCGCGCTGATCGTTGCCGCGATAGCAGCCATAAGTGCTCCCCCCCCCCCCTTCGTTTGCTCACCAGATAAGCGCGCGCAAACGACCCCGGCCGGAACGGTGATGTTCGCTCCGCAGAAAAAAGAGGCTAGCACATCCTTCCCCGTATACATATACATATACGTGAATGCATATACATATTGTCACGTCGCTCCAGGGGTGTCGACAAGGTTGATTGACGTCTGAGCAACAGGGCTCTGACCAAGCGCGTCGGTTGGGCTTGTTTGCCAGAGCGAAGGCCCACGCGCACTTCTTTCTCTTTTGTGGTGTGAGCCTTCGCCTTGGCATACGACCCACTACTAGAAGTAGGTGGCAATATGCAATACATACATATACATATGCGTGAATGACGGCAGCAGCGGCGGTGACGGCAAAAATCAGCTGAGACTGTTCATATAATTCTTTTTTATCGATTCGTGTTGACGCTGATACTGTCGACGAAAATTGTCACGTTCCGCGTTTGATCTAGGCATCTGATGCTCGCGCACTAACTAGAGTTTCTTCACAAAATACTAGGTCGTAGACTCATCCCACACACATCAGTGTTTGATTCCATGTTTGTCTTTTTTTTTCATTGACCGCGGCAGCAACGAATAGTGGTACCGACGCCGACGACTACGAGTTGCTAGTTCGCAGTGACGGTAGCGGAAAAGGCAGTGTCGCCAACCTTCCGCCAGTCTACGTTGTCCAGAGGCCATCGACCCCAAGCAACATCACAAGCGGTAAGCAAGTTGTATATGCATTGAACGATGAGACTAAAACACCAACCACACGAGAATAAAAAAAAATTAATAAGACGTTTTGGTGCCCAGAATGAGAGCTTCCTTCTCGCTCCCGTTCTGGGTGCCAGAACGTCTTATTACATTTTTTCGAGGGACGAAGTTTCCCTTAGCCTAACCTTGTCCCGTGTCGGGCGTAACCAGCAGTACCTCCCAAGCAGTGTAATGCTGTCTCATCACCATTTCTCGTCTCATTTCCTAGGTGGCGTTGGTTTAATAGAATTATGTGCAATAGGAGGGACGAAAGCGTGGACGGACGGATGGATGCATGGACGCATAGATGGAAATACAGACGGACACATGGACAGATGGACGGAAGCACGAATGGACGCACAGATAGACGGATGGATGGACGCAAGCATGGACGGAAACATAGACGGACGCAAGCACAGATGGACGCGCGGATGGATAGATGGACGGAAGCACGGACGGACGGATGAATGAACAGGTGGACGGAAGCATGAACGAATGCACGGATGGACAGACAAGCGCTTCGCCCCACTCATAATCATTCATTCCGTGAATATTTTGTGTTTTTTGTGGGTGTGGTCAGCGTCTTCGTCTTTTTGTCCAATGATTCTTCCTGACCAGGCACGGGCATCTGTCGAAGCCTCGACTTGAAGTTGTCTACGCATGTTATAAGCATTTTCAGCGAAGAATCTCTTGCGTGCCACCATAATTCACTCTGGGTAGAGGTAGGTATACCAAAAAGTGCACTGTCGAGGAAGCGTTGGTGTCGCCAGCGTGCGGCAGCCTTTGTACTCCCGTGCAGCAGTTCAGAAAAGGAATGATTCCCTTCTCTCCTAAAGAGGCTCATGTTGACGCGAATTCCGCCGACGCCAATAGGCGATTTTTGCGTCTGATGAGGCAGTCAAGACTTTTGCCTTACAAAAGGGGACAAGCTTGGACAGAGCGCACGGTCCTACCTTTAGCTAACCTTCAACTTGGGTTAGTTGGTATGACATTGCAATGTGGTCGCGCTGAGCGATATACACAAACGAGTAGCGAGACAAGAGGAATTGCGCACCACCTGTCCTGTGCTCTTGTTTCGTTACTCCTTCGCACATTTCACTCAGTGCATTGCAATGTCCTACCTTGTTCGCTGAGCGCTATCTTGTCCTCTCGTTTCTTCGAGCGCAATGTGAACTCAAAATGTCTTCCGTGTGAAGGGCGATGTACCAAGCCGCGTAAGGGATCACCTTGTTGATTCTGATACTGTTGGCCCTTTGTCGCCAGGGCCAGTTCCATCGGGACCCACGCCGCTCGCTCCACCGTTGACGGTCTGCACACTAGCGCCTGGTGCCGAGTACATGTACATCCCCTACGACGGCCTCTGCGACTACTCGTTTTTCGACTCGCTGGCCATCACTCCCGAAAGCAACGGTTTCGCCGTCACGACACAGAGCGCCGACGCGAAACGCTTCGTCGCGCAGGCTCAAATCGACAAAAAGACTCTATACGGCATGTCTGTATCCCTCAGGTGAGTATAAGCGCGCGCCATTTTATGAAATAGAGATACGGAATTAACAGATGTAGCAACTGCTTACGGAATGAGGTCTGGCTTGATCGGTAGCACTATGGGTTTGATTGATATGTGGGGTTTAACGTCGCAAAACCACCATATCATTATGAGAGACGTCGTAGTGGAGGCCTCCGGAAATTTCGAACACATGGGGTTCTTTAACGTGCGCCCAAATCTGAGCACACGGGCCTATACAACATTTCCGCCTCCATCGGAAATGCAGCCGGTGCAGCCGGGATTTGATCCCGCGACCTGCGGGTCAGCAGCCGAGTACCTTAGCCACTAGACCACCGCGGTGGGTTACCTGAACATCAAGGGCGTAGCCAGAATTTTTTGGGGGAGGGGAGGGGGTAGTTATTCTTTATATATGTTCGTGCGTGCGCTTGCGTATGTGCATTTTCACATAAGCGAAAATTCTTTTTTAATATTTACTTGCGCACGTCCAGCAGTGGCGTGGCCAAGAAGAGGGAGGGGGGAGGGAGTGGAGAAGTTAGTTACGCACAGTGCTTTCGTCTAATCTGGCAAACAAAGACTAAGGGGCGCTTTGTTACACTGTGTCAAGTCTACTCTAAGGAAGCCTAAACTAAAATGTACAATACGCATGCAACAGCTTTCGTTTATCTTATAGAAAAGAGTGTGCAGACTGGTTTCACAGGATTTTTTTTGCGCAAGTCGAAAACCAATTCCTCTACAGGGACGTGGTCGCATTTAGCAACGCCTTCCAGTCGGGCAGCGGAAAGGCCGATTACGAGACTTACTGGAAGTTCAACGTCTTCCACTGGGGCTTCCTTCACGTCGACGAGCTACAGGTCGATGCAAACATCGCCGGCGTCAGTCTCGCTTTGTCCACACTTAAGGTCAGCGCTCGTTGTCTAATCTATCTATCTATCTATCTATCTATCTATCTATCTATCTATCTATCTATCTATCTATCTATCTATCTATCTATCTATCTATCTATCTATCTATCTGTCTATCTGTCTGTCTGTCTGTCTGTCTGTCTGTCTGTCTATCTATCTATCTATCTATCTATCTATCTATCTATCTATCTATCTATCTATCTATCTATCTATCTATCTATCTATCTATCTATCTATCTATCTATCTATCTATCTATCTATCTATCTATTGTTCAGTCTAATTTTATTTTCGATTCCGGCGTAAATATCCTTGCTTTTGCAATATTTCCCTATACGCTTTGTAGACATAGGCTGCTGTACGTGTGCAATAGATATGTTGAGACCACGGTTGACACCCGTCGCCAGAAGCTATACTAGTGCATTCATGATTGAATGAACTTTCACTGTACCTACGTAGGTCAATAGAAATCTTGGCCAGTAAAAATACCACATCGTTTTGGAGAGGTCTAGACAGACACAAGACTGCAAGTTTCTCAGGGTTCGATGTGTTGCGCTAAATAAGAATGATAGACACGCGACAAAGTGATTTTAAATCAGTAATGTCAACGTGACGTGCCAGCGTTAATGTATTCATAGGAAATAAAAACAAAAAAAAACAAAAATATGCATCGAGTCCATTCCACTCAGCGAAGGCGTGTATCCAGCGGGGATTGCGGTGTCACTGTCGTATCTTCCATCCTTACTTTTATTCATAGACGTACTGCACCGTTCCACGTCACCCCAATGCGTAGTCGACCCATAAATACCAGGCAGGATTACGGAGTTAGACAAGGAGAGCAGAAAGGTGGGTCTTAAAATTAATCTGCAGAAAACGAAAGTAATGTACAACAACCTCGGAAAAGAGCGGCGCTTCGAGATAGGTAATAGCGCACTTGAAGTTGTAAAAGACTATGTCTACTTAGGGCAGGTAATAACCGCAGAGCCAAACCACGAGATTGAAGTAACTAGAAGAATAAGAATTGGGTGGAGCACATTCGGCAAGCACTCTCAAATTATGACAGGTGGATTGCCACTATCCCTCAAGAGGAAGGTATATAACAGCTGTATCTTGCCGGTACTTAGCTACGGAGCAGAAACCTGGAGACTTACAAAGAGGGTTCAGCTTAAATTGAGGACGACGCAGCGAGCAATGGAAAGAAAAATGGTAGGTGTAACCTTAAGAGACAAGAAGAGAGCAGAGTGGATTAGAGAACAAACGGGGGTTAAGGATATCATAGCTGAAATCAAGAAGAAGAAATGGACATGGGCAGGGCATGTAGCGCGTAGACAGGATAACCGCTGGCCATTAAGGGTAACTGACTGGATTACCAGAGAAGGCAAGCGCGTTAGGGGGAGACAGAAGGTTAGGTGGGCAGATGAGATTAAGAAGTTCGCGGGTATAAATTGGCAGCAGCAAGCACAGGACCGGGTTAACTGGCGGAACATGGGAGAGGCCTTTGTCCTGCAGTGGGCGTAGTCAGGCTGTTGATGATGATGATGAAATACCGGGCACGAACGAGCGAACACAGCTAGCACTTAGATTGAATTAAGGGAGCTAAACACGTAGGAAAGGCGCACTCAGGGGCTTTTTTTTTTTAACGAGGATAGTCTTTCCTTGGACCTTCGACGGAAAAATTTTGGTCTGTATGTCTGTACATTTGTCTGTTTGTTTGCCCTTAACGATACCTCTAACGGCATCAAACGTCCGATCCCATCCGCAGCGCTCACCAATATTGCTCAAGATTCATCGTTCATACTTGTGTCAATTAAAAATCAATCATTTGGCATATCTGAGGCACCATAACAACACGTCGATGCTTTGCATGCACGCCTTTTTACCAGAGAAGGCACACACAAGAGACTCTAAGGACTGTAGCGTTTTTTGCGCTGCGCTGACAGTGCAACGCGGTGCTCAAAAAGTGTTTCCAACGCTTTGCTACGACGACACGATGGAGGCACCTACCCGTCGCTTTGTGTTCTACACCTTATCACCTCCGACACAGGCACGCATCTTTCTCCGCGGGCGCGCACGCGTTCGTTTTCGAAGATAACTTCCAGATGGCGCTCGTGTCTAAGGCGCCTCGATGCGTTCGTTTGTCTCCACTACACGCTCGAGGCGCTCTAACGCAGCGCCTCCAGAATACCATTCACCAATTTTCTTGCACAGAACATCAAATAAACGTTTTGTTCACTCTCTCCAGACGCAAGCCTATCGTCTTTCGACGACATTTGCAGTGTAACACGCAGATTCAGAGCCAATTTTTTCACTTGGAGGCGTTAGTGTCTTTCATCGGCTTAGAGGGTACCGGGGTTCCATATCAATGCTTCAAATTGCTTCATATTCCATCCCTTCTCCCTTGCTGGTGAAACACATTTTTTTTTTTGCAATATGTATGAAACTCCCACTGACCGTTTCGTTTCCATCACTACCGAGAGCACACCGAAAAATTCACTTCAATGTTTCGAAATGCACCACTCCACCACTGTACCCAGGGAACGCTGGATGGGTGTTGCACACTGACGGTAACCGCGAATTCAAGAATGTGGCACGTCTGCAGCTCCACTGTAAAAGAACCTATATTGTGACATTATAAACAATCAAATTGTAAACAGTACATCATCATTATAAACTGACTATGTGCATGGATTTAGCGATGTCCGCGTTTATTTATTAACTTAGTGAGGCCTGAAGTTCCACGATACAAATGCATACTGGTAACTAGCAGAGTTCCGCTGAACATTTTGTGTTCATTTGGTGTTCTTCTGTCGCAGGAAATCCACGAACACGCAGTGTCGACGGCTGGCCAGACGCCCGGCACATTTTTAGGGCATCTACATGAGGTTGGAGAAGTCCTGCGCCAGAGTGGCCGGATATATCCGGTATGGCTCGTTCTATGCAGTTTTTTTTTTCAAGTGAAATGCCGTCACGTATACAGACCGGCACTACTCGAACAACTGTATGCTTAGCGTTTCATTTAATAGGGACTGTTTTCTTTTAGCCAGAGCTGAGCTTAGCCCAGTATGTATGCGCAGAGTGTATGTACTGATGAAGTATTGCCTCGGTGATCTGCAGTCAATTGCATCGTTCAACCTTCGCTGCCCTTTCCCTTTTCGAGGGACCACGACACACGATTTTGGATCATAATCTGGGTATTGTGGAATAATACTTGCGCGTTCACAAACAAGCTAGCGAAATTTTAGCCCATTCGGTTGAGCCCTATATTTATAATTGAATTCTCTTTTTGTAAACACGCCAGTGGCTCGCGATTTGGACAACACTGGTACACTCGCGAGCTCTGACGTAATAAGCTGCTGGCTGAGCACAAACGTCTACGGGCTAAGCTGGGCGTGCAATCGAGTTATTTCAGATTCGTCGAGCTTCTCATTAAAGTTGGACAATAGAGAGTTTTAGTACTGCGTACGCTGCGTACGTGGCGGCGTTGCGTACGTAAGCACGCCACGTTCTGCGTAGTGCGCATGCGCAGACCACAACAAGCACGTATCGCATTACGTACGCAGCCGCACGCATGAGATGCGTGCGTGCGTACGTATGAGGTGATCTCGCCGCTCTCGAACAAGTTCGCGACAGCGCGAGACTTCGTTTTGCAAAATGGCGGCATCGAAGGCAAGCACCTACGGCGACCGGTTTTGTGGCTTAAAATATGGCCATGATCTGGCTATAACACTTGGATTGGCTCACATTGGCTGTCAACAACACGTGCTTCTATTTTGATCTACCAGATGGCGCAACACGCTTCACGCTCGTTACGTACGCGGGTACTACGGCGTACTAAAAGCCGATTAGTGGCAAACGACGCCACGTAACGCAAGGCGCTTGCGTGATGCGTACGTAGCACCATTCCGCAGTACTAAAACTCTCTAATTTCAAATGGCCGAGACTTCCGCTACACGCAGCGTGTGACGTCACGCATGCCGTAGCAGTATGGCGGTCACCGGCGGTGCTCCTGGTTTACATTCGGCGACACCTAGAGCTCACTTTGCAGTGAAATATGGCCTCCTTATAACTCTAGGCGCCATAAACGATTTCCTTTAACTTTTCGCTGAAAACCGTTAACTATGGCGTGTCTGGGTCAAGGCACCTTTTTCTGCACGTCACTCGGCTTTGCTCTGCCTGCGCGATCGTCAGATTACGTCATTACGACGTCATCTGTTCACGTCGCAATTACGTCGGTACGTACCGTTGTCACGTGACGGCATCCTCTGGTCTCGAAACTCCCAGTGCCGTTTGAGTTCGCGATGCCGGACCCTGGATATAAACAGTGGGTCAAACTCGCGTCAGTGCCTTGTGCCTGTCCGTCCGGTGTCACGAAGGCCATGCGACGAGATTCGGTAGTGAATAAACAGATAAAACGAAATTATTATCATGATGCTCAAAATGACGATGACGGACCGAGGGATGATAATAATGAGGTTCGAGATTACGCTCGAGATGACGGGGCTCGGAATGATTACGACGCTCAGACTGAGATTAAGCTGTCTTCATCTATACCCTCGCATACATTCGGCTTTGACAGCTTCACCGTCGGCTGCTTTTTCACGGCGTGGAACGATGCTCAGCTGATGATCTGAAAGTCGAGGGCTCGATGTAGGCCGTGGGGGTCCCATTTCGAGGAAGGGGTGATTATTATTATTATTATTATTATTATTATTATTATTATTATTATTATTATTATTATTATTATTATTGAGCAAGTGCGTAGTGATCAGTGGCTGGCCAGCGATTGCCTTTACGACTCTATAAGCAACGCTGACACGACTGTCTTGGCTCATCAGATGTACAATACTTTTCTTGAAGTACCGTCTTCACTCCGACGGGTGTTGTCGTCCTGGGGCACCTGTCTTACGGCGACAGTTGGAAGTCCGACTGCGTCATCATGCCGCCCGTCAACTATGTGGACCCGCGCCTTGTGAAGCCAGGCATCGGCTACGGCCACAACATGGTAAGCCGCGCGCCGAGCCGTGCAGACATTGCATGCGAAGATTGCGTATTCGTTGATGTGTGATCAGCAAATGAACTCGAGATGCGGGATGTGCTTTATGTTGAATGACTCGACAGCTGTATCGATGTTGTTGCGACTTGGGTCGCGTTGCCGGTTTGGACACGAGGGGGCATTGTGCCCAGCAGTCAATAGGAAAAGTTGAAGAAGAATATTTCTACGTGTGCAGCTCTTTACATGATGGGCAGCGGCTCTGAAGGAGAAAGAAAAAAGCGCTGAATTCTTCGGCCCAGTAGGAACCATGGCTAAGTGCTTGTAACAAGCAAACTTCTCCGGGAATGAAAGAACTTCTCAATGGCCGTGACGTCCGCCATTAGCTCGCGGAGGTGACCATAATGCAATACATGCACTGACTATATTACCGCTGCAAGCTTCCACCAGGGAAATAGAAGAGGGCCCACACCATTGCCAACTGGAGAGCATATAATGCCCTGTGGCACGGCGCATATCATGCCCTGCGTTGCCGTTCGTCGGAACTGTAGAGGCTCTTGAAAGGGAAAAGTGAAGAGAAAAGCGCCGAGCTGTTATTGTCTATCCTTCCATTAGGCGTACCCAAAGTTGTGAATTAAAGGGAGCGAAGTTTTACAGCAGCGCCCCCCCCCCTCTTTCCATCTGCCCCCTGTTGTCCGTTGGCCGAGTCCGAAGGAAAACAAGCTTCTAAATGCGGTGCAGATATTACAATGAAGTGACGTTGCACAGCCGCGGCCATGTCTGTGTATAGAACACGCAAACAACTAGTTTTTGGTGTGCGTGGCAACACCTTGAGACAATTTCGGGCTCTGATGTGGTCAGCCTGACTATTAAGCTGCGTATGCTACTGACACACGGTGCCAGAGCCCGAAACTGCCTCAAGGTGTCGCCCCGCAAAGCGAATACCAGCTGCTGGCGCGCTATACACAGACGTGGCCGTCGCTGTACTGTTCACGACGGTCCTGTCCTCAGTCCCCGGCTTTCTGGGGTAAACATGAGAAGCAAAGACTTCTCGAAATGCAACTTCAGAGGTCATGGGCCGCCATAATGGTCAATTACCGGCACAGTCGTAATCCTTCACTTTTATTTGTGGCGGGACAGGTCCAACTCGGTAAAAGCATACGTCATATACTTCATGACCCCGCTTGATTATCAGCTCTCCCCCCCCCCCCCCCCCCACCATCGCTGCTTGTGATTCTCTCTCCAAATTTCTACTGCTTTGAGCAACCGCACACTACCGATTATGCGCATTTCTTTTATCGGATGTCGAAACGGACTATTCGTATACAATGAAACGACTCAATAACGCGCGTATTTCTTCAGTAAATAGTAAACGAACTGTATATACATGCCCTCGTAACGTACGTTGGTGGTTTGAAATCCCGGCTATGACAGTAATGCTTCGGCAGGGAAGAAATACAAGAGGCCGTGTACTTATATCTGCAAGGGCTTGTTAAAAAAATCATAGGTGGTCAAAAACTAACCAAGAGTGATCAACTGCGGCGTTTCTGATAATCACTTCCTGGTTATTCCACGTCAAAATCAAGAACATAAATTGATCATGCACTCTATTTGATTATTTGTTGAGTACGTTGCACGCTTTGCTGGGAGCACATAGGGGCAAGATAGCAAATAGATTAACGTTGGGGTACAATGAAAGAAAATGAAACTATAAGGGGTGAGTGGAATCACCCAAATGAATCCCACGAGAGCGGCATCACTAATAATAACAATAATAAAACGCCATATTTTGAAAGATCACCATAACACTCGTGACGTATGCACAGATTTATGCAAATGTCCAATGCAGTGATGGTATATTGGTGGTGTAGTTGATCTTAAAGAATGCGTCGTGCTTATTCACAGTAGCGACAACGTCGAAGGGACCGTAACAGAACAGGTTAGTCGAGATCCTATCTATGCACTCTAATAAAAACGCTTGAGACGTTTCTTAAAGATACACAATTTCACAATACTGTAATGTGATAGCGCGCAAAGTAGTACATGTAGTCATAGTTTCCTCTACGCGTACGGCGTTCTTTGCCGACAGCAAGACGCCATGCATGCTGTGACCTGCCTCTGGAACCGAGGAGTCCAGTCCAGCTTGTCTTTGTCCGTCACGATGCAAGCTCGCCGCTACAAGATGAGAGGCACGGCACAGGGCCGGGCATTGTTCTACACCGACTGCGAACCTGCCACATACGAACAACGTACCACAGCTCAAGAGGTACGTCGACCACAGTGATGCATTTCTATACTGCGGTTAAAATTCCGTGGCTGGTGTAACCCGTACGCCCCCTTACAGCAGGGCCAAGGCTATAAGGTTCAGGAGCGCTTGTCCTATCGGAACGATGGCGGCAAGCGAAGCTTGGCGCCTGCGTGCCTGACACATGTCTTTCTTTCTTTCTTTCTTTCTTTCTTTCTTTCTTTCTTTCTTTCTTTCTTTCTTTCTTTCTTTCTTTCTTTCTTTCTTTCTTTCTTTCTTTCTTTCTTTCTTTCTTTCTTTCTTTCTTTCTTTCTTTCTTTCTTTCTTTATCAACCAGCAATGCTCCTTCCTAATTCATTCTTCCCCGTTAATACTTTTGACTCTCCTCCACGTGCTATGCAGCGAAGCGCCTTTAGTTGCTACAAGCAACAGAAAGGTCCCGTGCTGATACCCAGGTGACAACAAAAGCTGGCAACAGGAGTTGACGGGTCACCTCGATAGCTTCAATAAGAGATCAGATGGTCGTATCACAAACAGCTCACCGCCGACCATCCCACGATCTATTGAGTGGATCAATCATTGGAAAATGTCCCGACCAAATGTGCGACCGGCGGTATACCGTCGAAGGCCGCATTCCTTTCAGCTCGTGGGCGCTCGTTTATTTCTTTCGAGTTTCAGTGTATTTTCTATCACGCTCCTACATTTTCTGTCAATTTTATAAACAGCGATCGAGACGCGCACGATAAAGTGATCTCTTTCTGTAACCCACTTGTGATGCGAAAAAAAGAGAAAAAAATCACCACATATCCCCGTAAAAAAGAACCCCGAGTAGTATGCAAAGAAGCCATGGGTTGAATTAGAGGTCTTCAAAGAGGTACGCTTTGCCCTCACGCTCCGAACGCTCTCAATACAATGCCAACGCTGGCTGGGCAACGCGCCCAAGCTCTCAACTCCGGGTCTTGCATCCGCTGCTTGTGCTGCAGCCGCTTTGGGAGCACTCGCCTCTGCAGCATTTATGCTAATGTCTTCGGTCATACTACTATACGCTGTTTGTGAGAGAGAAAGAGAAGTCGTAGCGATGCGTCGTAGCCACGCTAGTAAGAGCAGGTGGAAGCTGACCTTGGCTGAGGTTGTAGGTTTAACGCGCGCATCAGAGCCGTTACTTGGTTTGTACCGGTATTGGCAGAGCTGTCACTGTAAAGAAAGAGAGAAAAAGGAAGCGAGTGGTCGAGACAGAAAAGGTAATCGTTGATGAAGTGGCAGAAAAAAGTGGTGCAGAAGCTACGCTGCAGTTGTCCCAGTATTCGTCGTAAACACTTTACTGCTTGATCCTTCCTGTCGCCACGGTGGTCTAGTGGCTAAGGTACTCGGCTGCTGACCCGCAGGTCGCAGGTTCAAATCCCGGCTGTGGCGGCTGCATTTCTGATGGAGGCGGAAATGTTGTAGGCCCGTGTACTCAGATTTGGGTGCACGTTGAAGAACCCCAGGTGGTGTAAATTTCCGGAGCCCTGCACTACGGCGTCTCTCATAATCATATGGTGGTTTTGGGACGTTAAACCCCACAAATCAATCAATCAATTCCTGTCGTCTCCTACGCTATACATTTTCTGTCCTGTTGTTCCGATGCTTGTTATATCGGAAGTGTTTAGCAAGCGAAACGAAGCTTGCATTAACTTCTTGTGTATTTAGTTATCACTGCTTGCTCTGTCGCCCACAGTTCGTTCGTGAGCGCGTTGAAACCCATTACAATGGACAGTCGGGCAATTTATTGCTAAGAGCTCACGACAAAAAACAAAAATGCAGAAATAATGAGAAGAACATATGCTTGTCCTTGTTGGCAATTTATTATTACTTTTTAGCGCACATACCGTTCAGCGCTGTGTCCACATCATTTTTTTTGTCTTGGTTACGTTGTGCGCTAAAAAGTTACTATAAGAAAAACAGCGCAAGGACCACGGACTTGAAAAAAGCGCTTGTCCTGCCCCCTTTTTTTTTTTTTGAACCCGTATTCATGCGCTACTTGTCGTTATGAATTCTAACCAATGCATAAAGCTTAGCAACTAAGAACTATGTAGGAACGAAGAAGCGAAGATGTAATTATGTCTCACGTCTTCTTGCCCATACGCCTATTAAGTAACCATCGTGTTATAGGCGACTGCATGGGGCATGTGCAGATACGTACGACATATTTTCACCCGTACACGGACTTGATGCCTACTGAACTAAGACCACCGTATCTATGGCGTTTCACCTCAACCAGTGCAAGTCAGAGTAACTCATCACCGTGCCCCGCCGCGGTTGTCTAGTGGCTAAGGTACTCGGCTGCTGACCCGCAGGTCGCGGGTCCGAATCCCGGATGCGGCGGCTGCATTTCCGATGGAGGCGGGAATGTTGTAGGCCCGTGTGTTCATATATGGGTGCACGTTAAAGAACCCCAGGTGGTCGAAATTTCCGGAGCCCTCCACTACGGCGTCTCTCATAATCACCATGTGGTGGTTTTGGGACGTTAAATCCCACATACCAACCTAACTCGTCGCTGTATCCGCTCTTTGGTTTCTCCGCATTACAGATCTGCGATGACCCGCAGTCGGGGTACAGTCGGAACATCTATTACGCCACTCAGGAGAAGTCGCCTATCACGTACGACGACTCGGACGGTTTCGCCGTCACGTTTGAAAATGAGATATCCATGCGTGAAAAGGTGAGTGGCATGTGACATTTGTCGAGCAGTGTTGCGCGTGCACTGTCGTGAATTGGTATACCCGTTTGCGTAATTGAAACGTTAACGGATAGCGCGCTCGTCGTAGGATGCCTAAATTGCTGTTATTGATACAAAAGGCCCACACTTTGGAAGGCATTTGCGAGTGCACGCGAGGGGTGCTATAGCGTGGCTGTCATCGTACCCGTGGTCGCGCGCTTAGTCGACATCGTCAGGCGACAACCAAGACGTGCGTGATTTGTTTCAGCGCCTCCGCTAGAGGACGCACTGGTTGTTTTCAATACTATAATCAGACGTCACACTCTCATACGACCGTTCGCGGCTCTGGTGGTCCAAGTTAGGCATACGCTGGAGCCGCCTGGCGGGCCGAGCTTATGGTGAATGCCTCCTATATACAGACCCTTTCATGTTTGTGAACAGCTGTAGGCGGGGTTGGTAGCAACGTCGGGGCGTGTAGGCTCCGCCCAGCCCAACGCTTGTAACCACCCCCTGTGACCACGTGACAGCTGGCGCAGTTTACCACCCACCGCGCTTTGTGATAACTTGACAACTGTCACAGTTTACTGTGGTAGTTGTCACGTTATCACATTAGTCAACGACCAAGACTTCGTGTTTATGGAGTTGTCATATGGGTTTATGACGTCACTTCTTGAAAGCTGAGCCAGTAATTTCTAGCTGAATTTGAGAATCAACGGTAGATTACAGACCACGTGCTGCACCGAAATGTTTGACTGAACATGTTCCCAAGGGCCTGGATTTCCTGTCGACAGCGTTTCTGAGCGTGCTGACATGTGTTGATAGGCCCTATTGATAACATCATCCCTTCAGTCACCTGCGTTATAGAGCAGTCTGATTACACAGATCACCCCATTGGCGTGGTTAAGACTGAAGTGTCGAGTCGGGCCTATCGGTACATCGTCGTCGTTTGTGTTCCTTCCATCCGTTCTGCGTGTTTTGCGCTGTATAGTGTGTCAGAAATGAAATACATAAGTAGGTTTCTTCGAGTGAGTTCTTAGTCGTGGCGTCTCGTTCAGCTCTGCGATGCCTGGAGTCGTGGAGCAATCCCTGTCCCCGTGGGCCTGGCCGTGTACGACGCCAACTACGACCGAAGGTCTAGCAGGTGCGACCGCCGCTGGATCAACGGGACGTGGTCTCGGTTCCGTTACTTGCTGCGGCTGCGCGACTTCCTGCATCACGGTCAACGCTCGAGCACCTTTTCACAGGATTGCAATCGAGTCACGTGATGAGCACCACGGGGCTTAAAGGGCAATGGACTCGTGGAAAGTTTAGGCAACGTCGTGTAGAAGAAATCGAAAAAAAAATCGCTTCACTCATATGCTGCGACTGTTTGGCTGGTGCTTCTACAGTGAAGCTGTCCCCGTTTACTCTGTACCGTAGTCTGTTCTTGTTCTTCTTGTTCTTGTTGTTGTTGTCGTTGTTGTTGTTCTCGTTGTTGTTGTTGTATGGTGGTTTACGTCACGCAGATCACATGGTCAGTCAATTTGGAGGAGTTGATGTACACATAAACCAAGAAAATGATCATGATGCTGCATGAAATGGTGATGATGGTTACGACATCACGTGATCTCGCAAGCCAGACGCACACGCACGCGCGGTAACAAATTCGCCGGCCGATGGGCTTTACGGCGTGGAAGTAAATGGATCACTTTCTCACATGGCGTCCAAGATTATGCCAGTACGGCTACTGGATAGAAGAGCGATTGCCTTCACGCTTTGCAACGACCACGCTTTTAAAAGGTAGCATCATTCTGTTCTTTGTGTATGCCTCGGAGGTTATCCGCTGCAATTTTACAGCGTGAACTGTTAGAAGCAGACAACAGAAGCTTTAAAAATGTTTTTGTTGGGATACTTCAAAGCAGGAAATCGGGCCTGTCAGTCTTTCTTTCTGCTGGTTTATCTGTCATACAATTTAGCAACCCGGTGAAAGTTTAAGCTCTTGCAAGGTTAACGCCCAGCCATCTTGATGTGGTGGCTGCGTTCATACTTGTGAACATTGTCGATCAAGAAGCAATTATTACGCATATCTGTGACGCACAACATAGGTAAGTATTGGGTGGTGCGTATCTTAAAGGGCACACCGAAGTCAAATAACAGTTTCGGTCAGAGTGAAAGGTCAACGTATGACAACGTCTAAAACTGCAATATTATCAACAGTAGTAGTATACTTAGAAAGAAATGCTCGAGAACACATGCGCCAGGAGTAGGACCTTAGCAAAATAATCTCAATGACGTCAAACTTACCGCCTGCAATTAATCACTAGTAATCAAACTAGCTACACTAAATGAAATAGCTTTTGCGCATCAAGAGACGTAATTAAATACTTCTTCTTCGTTTCTGTTTAATTCATGGAAAAAAGAACCACCGGACGTTACTATATGAAAATGCGCGAGTAGTTCAAAAGTTCAACTTTTGCTTGGCTAAGCTGGACAGGTCGTGCCATCTAGCGGAGCCCATTTAAACCAAGCACGTGTGACATCTCGGAGGACATGACAGAAAATTGTTCAGTGGCCGTTGTTTCGGCTGTGGCTTCCACTACTTTCGTTCAGTTTATACTAGTGTCGGCGGTCGAGTAAAGCCGGACAGCGTTGTGCACGGCAACGTGGAAGGTTCCACTTGAGGCGGGTAATTCGAAGTGCGCTAACGCGATGTGGACCACTAAAACGTGATTTTATTTAAAAATAAACACTTCTTTCTCATAAAAGTAGATATTTATGGACCGCTATTTCCGCAATCAACATCATCCTAATGTTTGACTTTAGTGTCCCCTCAATAGAAAATGCATAGATATGTAATTCTAAAGACCATGGAGTTTCTTACGCTGCGATGATAATGCGACGCTTTGAAATAAAAAGCGGGTGTTACCTACGCTTAGCTGAGGTGACATGGTGCTGCCATCTACACGTGGCTCTGCGTTTTACAGGAGCTTTCGTTTCCCGATATTAGCGGCAGATGGCGTTCATATCTCACGCAGCGCCTATCAACGCTAGCCAGATGCAACCGATTCAACACAGACAAGGCACTGTCTGAGGCAAGGCAAAATATAATTGACCACTTGACAACCCGCCCAACAAATACCTGCCCCAGAACTCGTGCCGGAGGACTATCATTTTTCGACGAGATTCGCAGTGAGGCACATTGACACGCGGGCAACTTTTCATTCGTGGCTTAGTTCTCAACCGCTGCCGCATCGCAGTTATCGCGCTAGTGAGGGTCTAAGCGACCCAATAATGTGTGTGACGGCCGACTATTACCGCAGAGTCAAGCCGTTGATTGGATTGCTTTTGGAAAAGTATCCAATCGCCGTGTCGAGCGAGGAATCACGTTGGAAGATGCATTATCTTGTAGTTGAACAATATCACCCCGAATGCGCACAGTACGAATTAATTAACGAGTGAGTTATTTGCTTCCCACGCATTACAAAGGATTCAAGACGATATTCATCGGGATCATTTCGGCATCATCATCCACATACACAGCCACATACATCCATCCATCCAGCGAAGAGGGCGCCCCTGTCGGACCATTCGTGTTAACCGTGCGATGCCTCTCCAAGCGCACTGACGAACATCCACGAATATTTGTTGAGCCACCCTTCCTCCAGAAAAAAAATTCTTGCTATAGGCGCCTGCGTGTGCAGTTTATATTAGCTAACACATCATATTTAACCTTCGCTCACATTAGAGAAGAAGTGGATCACTGCACAGCTGCATAAATACGTCGCAGACGCACGTCGCATGTCGGATCAACCGACGTCACACGTTGGATGAAATGCAAAATCAGACTGTGTTTTCGTCTTGACCCTTATGAACCCTTCAAGATGTCCAGTAATAAAGACATCGTCGACCTCTTGAAGAAGTTGAACATTTTATTATTAAAAGAGAAAGACGTTCGGTAAACTTTACGCTGCAAAACCGAAAGCCGCAGCTCGGGAAACTTTACACACGCATTCCACAAATCATCGTGCAAGTGAAATTTAGCAGTCGCGGTTTACCGGCTTGACCATTCCTATGAACGTCGCCGTCGAACAGCAGCCGAAGCAGGGACCTCCTCGCGACAGGACTCCATCTTGGCCCCGTCGTAACCACGTGACCCGCTGCTCGGATCTGTCGGTGCCGGGTCTGTAGTGAATGTGAACGCAGTCCAGTTGACGAGCGCGACCAAGGATCTGATCCAAATACAGCAGCGCATCGGTGTTGTTCACAGGCATCAAGGTCAGGAGGCAGAGGTGCCGAAGGCTGGTCATGAGGGACAAGCTGACCTGTTCGGACGAAGGTTAAATGCACAGATAGATGATCACGGTACGATTCTTGGGTGCCCTTGCACCGCCCGCTCTTTGTAGCGTGTGTTGAATGTATACAGCTTCAGAAACACCACCGAGAAAAGAAATTCGGAAAATAAGGGTTTCGCGTTGTTTAACTCCTTACCATTTTACGATAAGACTAACTGATCAGTAAGTTTTCCGTCGCGCTAAGGGAAACAGGTACCACAAAAACAGTTTTTCGGTGACTTGAATGCGCTCAGGTATAGTGGTCAACGATACTTTTCATGACGAGTAACACAATCAACGAGTTGCGCCTGACGCCTATTTGATGCGTGAGCATTCAGCAACAGAAAAGAACGTAATGAAAGCTTCAACCTGTCACGTCTTTTATCCTGTCCCTTTTTCGAATTCTGAAGTTTCGATACTGATTTGCGCATATTGACGAGGTCGGGCGCTATAGGCATCAACTAAATGTTTACTCTCGCAAAACGATGAAAATGTGCAAACATGCGCAGAAACCACAAGGACGTGCATACGCCCCGATAGCACTAATGCTCAATAGGGGCGAAATCAGACTGTGTTTTCGTCTTGACCCTTATGAACCCTTCAAGATGTCTCGTAATAAAGAGATCGTCGACCTCTCGAAGAAGTTGAACATTTTATTAATAAAAGAGAAAGACGTTCGGCAACCTTAACGCTGCAAAACCTAAAGCCACAGCTCGAGAAACTTAACACACGCATTCCATATATCATCGTGCAAGTGAAATTTCGCAGTCGCGGTTTACCGGCTTGACCATTCCTACGAACGTCGCCGTCGAACAGCAGCCGAAGCAGGGACCTCCTCGCGACAGGACTCCATCTTGGCCCCGTCGTAACCACGTGACCCGCTGCTCGGATCTGTTGGTGCCGGGCCTGTAGTGAATGTGAACGCAGTCCAGTTGACGAGCGCGACCAAGGATCTGATCCAAATACAAAAGCACATCGGTGTTGTTCACAGGCATCAAGGTCAGGAGGCAGAGGTGCCGAAGGCTGGTCATGAGGGACAAGCTGACCTGTTCGGATGAAGGTTAAATGCACAGATAGATGATCACGGTACGATGCTTGGGTGCCCTTGCACCGCCCGCTCTTTGTAGCGTGTGTTGAATGTTTACAGCTTCAGATACACCACCGAGAAAAGAAATTTTGAAAATAAAGGTTTCGCGTTGTTTAACTCCTTACCATTTTACGATACGACTGACTGATCAGTAAGTTTTACGTCGCGCTAAAGGAAACAGGTACCACAAAAACAGTTTTTCGGTGACTTGAATGCGCTCAGGTATAGTGGTCAGCGATACTTTTCATGACGAGTAACACAATCAACGAGTTGCGCCTGACGCCTATTTGATGCGTGAGCATTCAGCAACAGAAAAGAACGCAATGAAAGCTTCAGCCGGTCACGTCTTTTACCCTGTCCCTTTTTTCGAATTCTGAAGTTTCAATACTGATTTGCGCATTAGACAAGGTCGGGCGCTATAGGCATCAACTAAATGTTTACTCCCGCAAAACGATGAAAACGTGCAAACATGCGCAGAAACCACAAAGACGTGCATACGGCCCGACTTCTTCACTAAGCTTTATTATCACTTGCTTTTTCCTTGGCACGCAAAGCCAAAGTATGCTAACACATTTTTCTGCTTTCAGACGGACGCCGTAAGTAAAAAGATTTGGTGAGTGAGATAGGACACCCGTATTTTAGCTACACCTGAAACGCGGGTGTCCTAAAAGCCAGACATGCAATGAATTTGCCGTCCGTGACCTGGGAAAGGCACTCCGCCCCGGTTCCCCAGCGAACTTTTTTTATGACATACAGACTACAAAATGACACACGATCACATCTAGCTAGGCGGCCCTTACTCCAGAAAAAAAAAAGTGGTGCCTCTCCCGCATTCTGCGTACGCCCCTGACTAACTCCCGTCCTGTTTATACGTGCGCCTTCCTTTGGGACTTGTTCATTTGCACTTGGTAAAATGCATGTTGCGGTGATAACAACTACTTCAAGTTTCAACGTTGAGCTAATGGTCACAACTGAAAGGCGCAAGACAAACCCACTTAAGATGTGCTGTCTTCAGCGAGTCACCACTGCTCAAACAGCACCACGCACTGCTGTTCCCCCTAGACAGTTTGGATATTAAGACGACTCACCTGGAGGCGCTCGTCGTTGATGGGCAAATTATCATGCTGAATCACGAGGCATCGGATAGAGTCGTTTACGCCAAGATGCTCGCACAAACGTCCGAAATGCAGGATATCGAAATGGCGCCAGTTCGACAATCGAAGAACAACTGCCGCTCCGTAACACTCCAGGAACCATAGCAGTGCCTCAGAAGACACGTCACACAATGTCAGCCTGGCGATACCTTTAAAACGGTAGTAGAACGCCCCGGGTATCGACCACGGCTGCATGGTCCATTCTTCGCTAATTAGAAGTTCGCAGGAAGCGCACCGGAAGTGCCCCTGTAACCTTTGGATGCGCACATCAAGGTTTAGGAGGTTCGGGCAACTGGCCTCCAGACGGCGCACGGCGGACTGGCTTCGAAACGCGCATGGCGGCGCAGAGAACGCTTCCAGGCGATACAGTGTCTTTTCCGGGAGCAAATCCATCAGGTCGAGCTCGTGGTGAACGTGGAGTGAGCTCAGGTTCAGCTCGACGACTTGGTCGAGCGCGACAGAAAAGAAGTTGCGAAGACATTGGCTGGAACGCACCACCTGCGGCAGGGTAAAACGGGTCGTCGCGCGTCGGCGGATGCAGCAGGAGACAGAGTTGGCGGACGTATGTCCAGAGGTGTGGGCGACTCGCCGCATGGAAGCGCCTCTCCATTTCATCGTTCATCAGGGCAACCACTACCAGCTGTGGGGGGAGAAAAGCAGATTTCATCAGTGTTCGCGACAGCAAGGAGTGTAAGGCTGCTCCACAAGTCATCCACTCTTCTGTGACGGAGGTTTGCGCAAGCGGCTACGAGGATGCTGAAGGTGGACGTGAAATCTGGCCGGCACGGTAACTGAAGCGGCAGTTCACTGGTGAATGTGAAGGATTCCAGTCGGACAAGACTGTCGTGAAGACGTCGGGCCTCGGAGACGGCTTTCGAGAATGCTCCTCCCCGAACGACGTGAACGTGTAGCTTGGTCAGCCTTGTGTAGAAGCCTACAAGCTCCCAGAGGAGCTTGAAGTTGTGGTCGCCGCCGACCTCAACGTAGAGGCGACGTAGGCTGCTCCTGTACAGATGATAGCCGCGTGTCGCGAGGCTCTCTGGCGAATTTTTGAGATCTCAGACTCGACGCTCCTTGCCAAGGTATCTACGAGAGACAATTCTAGCTCCTCAAGATTTGCAAGTCGTTCCATGGTCACCTGAAACAGTTGGCTTGGTGCGAGCGCGCAGGACGCGCAGCGCAGGTGCCGGAGGTGGACGCAGCGGCCGATCTGTGCTAGAAGCGCTTCAGGTTCCCTGACGATGCAGTTTCGGAGTACCAATTCGACTGACGGCGACCGGGTTTACGAGTCGCTGTACCAAGTCTGCCACCCCTTCGTTGATGCCGAGACACACGGTCGCCTCTTGTGCGGATTCGGCCATAGTTGTATAGTGCCCGAACGTGCAGTATGCTCACGCACAGTCAGGCACGACTGCGCTGGGCAATTCTTCGATTAAAAATACGACAACTTGTGCCAAAAGTTGCGCGCACGTGACGTCACAATGTCGTGGAGGCGCTGCCCATCAAAATACGTGGTTTACTCCGAAGGAACGACGGGGTCCCGTCATCCAAATGTGAATAGATCGGATCCAGATATGAATCTAGATATGAAGTTGTTTTTTTAGCATGCCACAGAGCAATGTGGTGCTTGTGTCTATTGTCTCGGGTTCATGACGTTCTATGAATGCAGTGGTTGCCGTCAAGATCAATCGTTAGCAGCGAAAGCTTTATATGGCTAGGATAAACGAAAAATTCACCGCCCAAGCGATCCGTCCAAATATATTAACCAGCGAAAGCTGAAACGTGTGGCCCCAATGTCATCGTGAGCGAGTAACGATGACGTCGACATATTGGTGTTGTCATCGCGGTGTCAACATGTGGTACCATCTGCCGGCGACGCCTGGCTGTCAGGCAACGGTTTCACTTGCTTTGTCTTCGTTGTGCCACTGCGGGTGACTTGTCATGGATTCGTGAGCGCGAATTCGATTATGTGAAGCTATACGGTCATCGCGAACAAGTAAGACGCTCGCAGCGTTCGCATGGCTTACCAGCCAGCCTCACCCAAGCGTCCGTTTACAGCTGCCTCGTCGCTTCTCGATCCGGCGTCGATCTCGGAATCACTGCTCAGAAGCGAACCGAACCGAACATGATTCGCCACTGCACTAATTCCTCAAGTGTTTTGATCATCACTTGGATAACGGCGGCGACGACAATTGGTGTGGCGAAGACACGTGCGCGCCGAGTAGACGAAATGTCGACTGAAATTAGCGTCACCGTTTCGTGGGGCCGCGTGGCATGAGACCACGGGAAGGGACCGCTTGCAAGCGCTGAAAATTGGCGGGCTTGGCACCCATTTTGAACTGGGTTCCACACTGCATACTGATCGATATAATACATGTTGATTCGCCTTTTGATTGCATTACTAGTACCGTATCGTCTCTAGGGGATCAACAACCTACCAATGTGGGTTTAACGTCCCAAAACCTCCATATGATTATGAGAGACGCCGTAGTGGAGGGCTCCGGAAATTTAGACCACCTGGGGTTCTTTAACGTGCACTCAAATATGAGCACACGGGCCTACAACATTTCCGCCTCCATCGGAAATGCAGCCGCCGCAGCCGGGATGATCAACAACTACGCGTTGACGCAAAACAAAAGAAAAACGTGACATGCGTCAAGTTCGTATCACTGCTTCTTTAAGGGAACAGCTATACGATCAAAGAGAAAGTTTCGACTTGAAAACAACGACTGGGAGATTTGTCAAACGGCGCCGAATCCGTCAGACTGGACTCTAGCGCTGTACTTCCCTCTGGCATGCTATTAAAAACGTAGATGGTTTTAGGCTACCCAATCATGCGTGATTTCAGCGCCTCCAACTGAATTTTTTCGCGAATACCCATATCTCGATAACGATGGCACCTTCCTTCGGAATAAATCGCCTGATTCGACGGGAAACATCCCACCCCCCTCCTTCACAACATTGTGACGTCACGTACGCTCAACTATCGCACAAGTTATTTTGTAGGTAATCGAAAAATTGTCCGGCACAATCCTGCGTGGCTGTTGGTGAGAACACTGCGTGTTCAGCGCACTCGATTAAGAGGAGACTCGATTTTGCACGAACTATGGCCGAATCCGGTGAAGGGGTGACCGCGTTCCTTGGGATGAACGAAGACGTGTCCGACTTGGTCCGGCGACTTGTAAGCCCGGCCGCCGTCACTGAACTGGTCCTCCGAAACCACGTCGTCCCGCAACCTGAAAAGCTTCTCGAGCTGATCGGCCGCTGCGTTCGCCTTCGGCGCCTGCACTGCGCGTCCTGCGCACTTCCTCCGAGCGAACTGTTCGAGGTGACCGTGGAACGGCTTCCGCATCTGGAGGAGCTCGAACTGTCTCTCGTCGGCACCTTCGCAGCGAACACGGACGGCGAGATTTGGAACCTGCACCGGATAGCGTCGCGACGCGCCGCCATCGTCCTGTCTCGCAGCTGCCTACGTCGCCTGTACGTTGAGGTCGGCGGCGACCACAACTTCGAGCTCCTCCGGGAGCTTTTAGGATTCTACCCGAGGCTGACCGAACTGCACGTTCACGTCGTGCGTGGGGGAACCTTCTCGAAAGCTCTCTCGGTGTGTCTTCATCTCCACAACAGTCTCCTCAAGCTGGAGTCCTTCACGTTCACCAGCGAACTGCCGCTTCCGTTTCCCTACGAGCCAGACTTGAGTTCGCCCTTCAGCGTCATCGCAGCCGTCTGCGCCAACCTGCGTCACAAATGGTCGGACGCCTCGTGGAGCAGCCTCGGACTCCTTGAAATCGCAAACTCGGATCGAATCTCTGCTCTTCCCCCACAGATGATAATAGTTGCCGTCTTGAACGACGAAACTGAGAGGCTGTTTAGTGCGGCGAGCCGCCCGCGTCTCTGGACGCACGTCCGCCAACTCTGTCTCCTGCTGCTTACGCCCAATGCCGAGGAGCTCTTTTACCCTGCCGCAGGCGGTGCGTTCCGCGAATGTCTTCGCAACTTCTTTAGCGTCGCCCTCGAACATGTGGTCGAGCTCAACCTGAGTTCGCTCCACGTTCGTCCCAACCTGGACCTGATGGATTTGCTTCAGGAAAGGATGCTGAATACCCTGAAGGCGTTTTCTGTGCCGCCATGCGCGTTTCGAAGCCAGTCCGCCGTGCGGCGCCTCGAAGCGAGTTGCCCAAACCTCGTAGACCTTGATGTGCGCATCCAAAGGTTACAGCGGCACTCCCTGTGCGCTTCCTGTGAGCTTCTATTAAGCCCCGAATGGAATGAGCGGCCCCGGTCGAAACCCAAAGAGGGGTACTATCGTTACAACGCAATCGACAGGCTGACCCTGTGCGACGTCTCTTCCGATGCACTGCTATGGTTCCTCGAGTGTTACGGAGCTGCGGTTAGGCTTCGACTGGTGAATTGGTGCTACTTCGATAAGCTTCATTACGGCCGTTTGTGCGAGCATCTGGGCGAAAACGGCTCCATCCGGTGCCTTGTCATTCAGCATCCTCACCTGCCAATCCAGGATGAGCTTCTTCAGGTAAGTCTTCCTACCTACATCGGACGCTGTCTGCGAACAGGAGAGCGTGATCCTGTTTAAGTGCTGGCGATTCACCAGTAACATGTTTTTTTTTTAATTCAGGGTGGTTCAGCATCTCCTTTTAGTTCTCATAACTAAATTCAGTGCCGAAAAATTTGATCTCGTTATCCGAAGTGGAACTATCCTTACCAAGCGCAAAAGAACAAGCCCAAAAGGTAGAAACACTTAATAAGAAAGGAAATGAGGCATAGGCCGACATTTGTTTCGGTTCGGGGCTGCCAGATGTGATCAAGAGTAATTTTGTGCCCTTGGCAAAAAAAGTAAAAAAAAAGAGAGGGGGGGGGGGGGCTTTTTGCAGACGGTTGCATTGTTCTTGCATGTCTGATTACATGGACAGCTGCATATCGCGTAGCTTTGTCGTTGTTCACTCTACTGGCCAAAATTGGAGTCCTACTTCATTCGTACGAAAGCAGAGAAATATGTGAGCATATATACGCCCCACTGGATTTGCGTAGCAACCGACGTGGCAGTTTAATGGGTTAATCGCGCCGTATGCGCACACATCTTTCTGGATTGTGCGCATGTGTTGTACATTTCTATTGTTTTGCGGGAGTAAACTCTGAATCGATGTCTAGCACCCGGCCTTCTCAAGATGCGCGAATCAATATTGAAAGTTCAGCATACGGAAGGGGGCACTGTATATAAAAGACGAGACAGGTTGAAGCTTTCATTGCGTTCTTTTCTGTTCTTGAAGGCTGGCACACCAGTGGTTATCACTTGTAACTTGACTGTGCGACCCGTCATAAAAAAATGCATCATTAAATAATATCCGCGAGCACATCGATTAAAATATGTTCTTGGGACGAAAAGCTTACTGGTGAGTAGAGAGTTTTAGCAAGCTACGGAAACAAGTCACGGAAATACGACACGGTTCCTTTCCGTATGCGCGTACAATGGTCGCGCATGTGAACTGGTCAGCCGATTCCGTGTTGCCGCCTTTCCGTAACCTGTTTCCTTAGCTTGCCAAAACTCTCTAGTATGTCTAATCGCGAAACGGTAACGCGGAAAACGGCACAAAACATTTAGTTTCGTAATTTCTTTTCTCGGCGGAGTCTCTAAAGGCGTGTATACATAGAACACACGCTACAGAAATCGGGTGTTGAAAGGGCCCCAAGCTTCGCCCGATTATCCTTCGTGTGGTTGTAGCGCACCACTGCAAGGTCACAAAAAAGACACACACACGCACCGCTATCGAGAACACTGTGAGAACATCGCGCGAAATCGCTGAAGCCTACGGAATTGACTAGATTTAAGAAAAATTCGTCAGTGTGCAATACTTAGCCTGTTAGCTGGAGAAGACGTAAGGTATCTATAGAATCTTTGGTTTGGTTTGACGTATAGGCGAGTGCAGATTGCCGTAATCAGTGATGACGCGTATAGAGCTATGCCATATTCTTACTAGCTGTTTTCTAGGTTTCAATCGGGTCTACCACTATTGTACAAATAGCAGAAATAGTGCGATTGCAAATAAACATTAGTTGCAAGTAATAGCGTTGTCTGTGTGCGCATGTCTCTTTTGCGTCCTTGTCGCGGCGAGCTACAACCACACAAATGGTGAACCCCACCCTACAATCCCAGCAACATGCATTAGCGCATCTATATATGCATATTCATTCCACCTTTATTTCGCCAGGTCAGCTTGTCCCTCATGGCCAGCCTCCGGCACTTGTGCCTTTTGACGTGGATGCCCGTGGGCAACATCGAGGCGCTGTTGTATTTGGATCAGATCCTTGATCGCGCACGTCAACTGGAGTGCGTCCACATTCACTACAAGCACCACACCGAAGCCACCGAGCAGCGGGTCACGTGGCTTCGACGTGGCCAAGATGGAGTCCTGTCGCGAGGAGGTCCCTGCATCGCGTGCTGCTCGACGGCGACGTTCATAGGAATGGTCAAGCCGGTCAACCGCGACTGCGAGACTGTATTTGTAGCATGAGATTGTGCAATGCGCGTGTTCCAATAGTATTTCATCCAATCGCGGCTTCCGCTTCCGTCGTTGGACGTGTTTTATAATAAACTGTTAAGCAGGTTCAAGAGTTGGTCTTTATAGTCTGGGACATTCTTAAGGGTCGGGTCGATTTTGTGCCTGATCCAATATACGAAGTCGGATGAAGCGGCATGCCATAGCGACCTATTTACGCAACCGAAAAGCGATCCACTTCCTGTGTCACGGGAGCGAAAGTTTAAAGGGACCCTGCAACACTGTTTGCGAATGGTCGGAAGACGCTGCCGGTTTGTAGTAGAGGTTCCCGCGAATACGCGAGCCAAATAATGTAGCACAGCATGCAGCCAGAAATTTAAAGTAAGTTCTTCAAGTCGGCCGAATATTGCTTTCTCTTCTATCGACAGATGACGGAACAAGCTCAAAAATTACTCGTCAAAGCCGTTTTCTCAGCAGCCATTAGCCGATTTGAGCAAGGCGTGTTCGGTCGTTACTGGAAGGGCCGCGGGACGCCGCGACTTGTCCTGGCATACATCTGCGATCGCAATAAACAAGAGTGGCGATGTGGGCTTGTTGGGAAAACATTTGAAAGAAATTTATGTAGCGCGAGGCGAAAAAACGAACACAGGAAAGAATAGACTGAGAGGACAGAGCGCTACTTCCAACACATTTTAGCATTTGTGGATGGGGGAGGGAATAGTACAGGTCTGTCTCGTCAATTGAGAAGGCTTTTAGCCCTTCATTTTCATGAGCTTCCATGAACCTTAATGTACTATCGGAACTCTTGACTAAAAACGGATCCCCGACTTCGAGAAGATTCAGTTTGTCTAACAAAAAAGCAGCTAGTTCTTTCTGCCAAGCACCTATTTCTGAGACTATTACTCGAAAAGGAGTGTTAACTTTGTGAGTTTTTACATTAAAAATACATCGAGGCTATTCTTCTTACTTTTTTGAATACTTTTTAAATTGTGTTGAAAGTAGCGCTCTGTCCTCTTAGTCTATTCTTTCCTGTGCTCGTTTTTTCGCCTCGCGCTACATAAATTTCTTTCAATAAAAAGTGTCGCGGACATGAGGTTAAAGTGACCTAGGTTACTCTAACGAAATGCGCGTGACGTATTCCCCTTTCCCCCTTGCCATACCTACCCCTGCTTAGCGTCCAGCATTTTCGTCGGGATCGCAATTGCAGCGAGTGACTAATCTTTGTACCTCCGCTCGTACTGGACAGATTGTAGAAATTTTTGCGGTGGTGAATTCGTGAGGCAATAAGCTCCTTTGGTGAATCCATTCCATGAATAATTGAAAAGGTGTTTCAGGGCCCCTTTTAGACAATGCGGTGCCGAAACGTGCAGGTTAGTTTCGATAAACTTTTTCAGGGGGAGGCGCCATTCAAGAGACATATGTTTGCGAGAGCGTTTGTACCTGTGCGCGCATGTATGTGAAAGAGAAAAGCGTGAAGCATGACTATCTTACTTTTACAAAGAACAAAAGCTATTCAACAAAATACGTAACCATTTACACAGTCAAGGTGCTCATTATAAACGTTTTCAAATTGATGGACTTTTCAGGTTCCTTTTCAAAAGTTAACCGCTGTAGCTATATTCTGTGCTCGCGTACTTCTACCACTTAGTGCATACTTTTTATTGTGATAGCAATTATATAAGCACTCTCGGCTGAATTTTGCCGCTGGCGTCGCCGCCACTCACCGCACATGTATCCGTATCTCTACATATGAAAATGCAAGAAAGAAAAAAAATCTACAAAAAGACTCCGGCGTGTGGAATCAAACTTGTGTGCTACCCTGTGTACTAGGGGGTCAGGGCTTCTCAAGCTGTTCTCACAGCTTTTACCTGCCCTCCTCGTAACATGTATTTTGTTGTTGCGGAATAAATTTCAATTTCAATTTCAACTTAGGTCCTCCGAACTGGGAAAGCGAGGCGTTAACCACAGAGCCACCTATGATTGATTGATTTGTAGGGTTTAACGTTCCAAAACCACTATTTGATTATGAGAGACGCCGTAATGGAGGGCTCCGGAAATTTTGACCACCTGGGGTTCTTTAACGTGCATCCAAATCTGAGCACACGGGCCTACAACATTTCCGCCTTCATCGGAAATGCAGCCGCCACAGCCGGGATTTGAACCCGCGACCTGCGGGTTAGCAGCCGAGTACCTTAGCCACTAGACCACCGTGGCGGGGCGGCCACCTATGATTACGTCCTTCAAAGTTCAAACGGCAAGCTATCTATATCTACTACTTACCGCTGCTGACGGGCATCTCGGGAGGGGGGGGGGGTCGTGTTTTCAGCATTACCAGCGAGATGGCGCAATGAGCACGCGTAGCAACATCGTCACGACGTGGCGGCCGCGCTCTGATCTTCCACGCACATTTTGCCCCGAAAATCGCAGGGGATCGACGCTCCTCGCGCTTTCTTATCTTGCGGTAGGGAGGATCGTACGCTGGCCTTCGGCTTTTACCGTAACGATTCTGTTTGAGTTAGCGGGCGCACGAAGGTCACTGCAATGTTTGACCAGTCTACGTTTGCCAAAGGAGCGCGCTTTTCAGACACAGCGAAGTAACAAGTGAGACGCTTATTCGCGTTTGTCTGTGCCTGAGAGTACGTGTTGTGCGTCATTTGTACGCGAGAAACGCGGCGCACGTTTCCATATGCTGGCCCTTCTACGCGTGACCTTCCAATTTGTTGCTATCGCGTTTATTGCTTCGACTGTGCGGCAAAGCTGGGATTTTTTTTTTATCGTACTATGTTAGTCGAGAAGTTTAAAGTGTGGACCCTGCAGTGGTAGTCTAGTGGCTAAGGTGCGCGGCTGCTGACTCACAGGTCGCAGGATCAAATCCCGGCTGCGGCGGCTGCATTTATGATGGAGGCGGAAATGTTGTAGGCCCGTGTGCTCAGATTTGGGAGCATGTTGAAGAACCCCAGGTGGTCGAAATTTCCGGAGCCCTCCACTACGGCGTCTCTCATAATCATATGGTGGTTTTGGGACGTTTAAACCCCACATATCAACCAAATCAATTTCCTCCACATGCTTCGCAAACATAGATTCCCAGGTACGTGGTATCTGCCGAATTTTTTATTTGTACTATGTTACTCGAGAAGTTTAAAGTTTGGATTATTATAACGCTATAGACACCCGACACTGGAGCAGAGCGCACGACGGAGCTCTTTTGGGCCGCCTCAGCATTGTTAGTAACGACCGCCAGGGACACGATGAAACTGAAACTCTCGCTGAACACATCGGCATGCTGAAGTGTCATTGCTCTTTTAAGTGTGAATACACTTTATAAGCGACCCCAAACCATCCACCGCCGTCGGCGGCGTCCGCAGTCTTCTCTCTATCTTTAAAAGAAAGAGGACTTGGCGGGCCGCAGCGCGACGCTCTACCGAATAAGCCACGGACGCGACGCTGATATCGGTGTCAGTAACGCGCCTTATACTCCCTCCCCCTTCGCTCGCTCCTCCGCTCTCCTCGCTCGCTGCAGCTGCGCGCGCACCCCTCTCTCTCGCGCGCCCGCCTTCTCTCTCAATCTCCCATCGAGAGCGGGTCGTGAGGGGGAGTAAAGTTAAGATCCGTTGGCATTCGCCAGTGAGTTAACGTAAACTCCCCCGTGTGATCAAGTTGCGATTCCCAGGAACCATTACACCATAAAGGCACCATAGTGTGAATAATAAATATAATAGTGCGAATTAATAAATACCCCTCATAGTATCACCCCGTGTATTCGCACTTAACCATGTTCACCCTCGGGGAAATGCTTGGGAATTTTTTGGCACGTGCTCAAAGAACGCTTCCTGGGTACTTCCATAATCGCGCGTGACCCCATTGTTGACCACCGAATAAAAAGAAATTTACCCTAGAAAGTCCGCTTTTGCTGCATCTACTCTCTAGGCGACGCAGGGGCGGGCCCGGTTTTGCGGTGTTTATTCGCTAGGCTGTGTGTTTTGGCGCTACCATCGGTTTTTGCAAACTGCATTGCCGGGTGCCTATTGATAAAATTGAAAGTAGCTTGTGTCAGTGAAGCTATTGCACGTGGATACATCGTCCGTAAGGGATATCATGCTTTAAAAAGCAGCAATTATGTGCGTGAAATGCTTTGTTGCTATGCGCCCACTAAGTGGTCTCAAGTGAATGCGTGCAGTAACGTGCATGCCTTTTGTAAAGAGGAGCCGGTTTTGAGACGTTGAACCCCACAAATCAATCAATCAATCGTTATGATAATCGCATGTTCGTACACCCCGTGGCAATGTACGCTTGCACTACGCAACGTTATTGTGATATTGTTGTATCGTTTGGCAAAATACGTGCCGGAAAAGAGGATACAGAACCGGAAAATAGACGACAAGCCTAATCAATGTGTCAATATCAAAACACGTGTGACAGGTCCTCGATTGCTCTGAAGCCCAGCCAGGTATATAATCGCGTTCAGCGCTCTTTCTGTCTATACCCATGTCCATTTTCCTTATGCTCGCACGATGAAAACACTTGCAAATACGAAAAAATATCAAAAAACGCCAAGCCTGCGCGGAAGGCACAGTACAGTCACAGCGAAAGCTATAGAAGAGCGGCCTTTCAGAGCCTTATCAAAATACTCATTGGGTAACTACTGCAAGTAGAATTGGTTGATACCCACTAGGACATTAATAATAAAATTTTGGGGCATTCGTTATGCTATCGTGAGCTTGTTTAATGCGCAACACCAGAAACGCAGGGCAGGGAAGGATCAAAACTGAAAGAAAAGGCGGTTCTATTTCTCTTTTGCTCCTTCCCTGTCCTGTTTTTCTGGTGTTGAGCTGTAAACAAGTTCACGATGGATCCCAACCAACTGGCCCAACTTACCGTCTTATTCACTATGCTATTTTTCGCCATTCTTCTGAGAAGCGTGGTATCCGCTAAACGCTTGCAGGGAATTTTGTGCCAATTGTTCATGCAGTGGCTGACGATGATGAGGAATTATGGTTGAAGTGGGTATGCGCCACAGTTAATAGGGGAACAAGAACAAGCTTTTGTAATGAGTTAAAGCATGGGATATGTGGGCTTTAACGTCCCAAAACCACCATATGAGTATGAGAGACGC